TATCTAGAAGTGCTATACAGGATATATTTATTTACATGTGTACAGAGACTATTTATGCATGGACTATATATGGTATATATATATATATATATATATATATATATATATATATATATATATATATATATATATATATATATATATAAACAGAGTAATTGTAAAAGGATTTAAAATAAATAAATAAGGAAGCTATATACAGATTCATCCATCCATTTTCTGTCACACTTATCTCCAGCTGTCTACTGGGCGAGAGGCGGGGTACAACCTGCACAGGTCGCCAGTCCATCTCAGGGCAACACGTAGACGCACAACTATTCTCACTCACACACACACACACACACACTCACCTAAGGACAATTTAGAGAAGCCAATTAAGCTAACAGTCATGTTTTTGAACTGTGGGAGGAGTACCAGGAGAGAACCCATACATGCTCAGGGAGAACATGCAAACTCCATACAGAAAGAGCATGGACTAGGAATCAAAGCCAGAACCTTCTTGCTGCAAGGCAGCAGTGCTATCCACTGCCCACCCCATATACAGATTATTCAGGACAATTAGTGGGGTTATAATATAGGACAGATAATAGCAGATAAAAGATTTACAGATTATATACAGCTATAGTTGAGAAGTACAGTCCTTATAGTGTCAGGAGGCGTTCAGGAGCGTGAAAGCTGTGGGGAAGAAGCTGTTCCGGTGCCTGGTGGTTCTAGTCCATAGTAAGTTTCTGTAACGCCTCTCAGAGGGCAGGAGAGTGAAGAGTGTGTGTTCAGGGTGAGTGGGGTCTCTGGTGATTTTCCCAACCATTTTCAGACCAAAGATAACCCTGGAGTGGCAGAGCTCTATGTCAAATACTCTTTAATTCCAAAATGAGAAGTATAGTTTTCTAAAATGCTGGTGAAGATTCTCAGTCATCCTGGTCATAGATATTCCAAAAAAAGAAAAAAAAAAAGAAGAAATTCTAAAACAAACCACAGGACTTTGTTTTCCAAATTTGAAGATGTTTCCCTTACCATCCAGGGAGCTTTTTCAATTCAAAATGTCTGGATTAGGTTTGAGATCCCAGCGTTATAGAGTAGCCCAACAAAGCCTGGATATGGCTTAGAAAACATGCAAATGAAACCGAAAGAACCGGCCCATCCCTTAGTAATAGGGAGTCATCGGGGTCTTTGTTGGCCTTGCTGTCCAGACGAGATGTTTTGGAATAAAAATGAATATTTAACTTTAACCAAGGAAAACCGTGTCTCAGGCAAACCTAACAGACCCATTCACCCTAAGAACACAATCCTACACAGTGAAACATGGCGGTGGTGACATTATGCTGTTGGGATTTTTTCAGGTCAAAGTTGAAGAAAGATTAAGATTCAGAAGGAAATCCTGTTTCAGCCTGCCTGAGACTTTAGACTGGGATGCAGATTAATCTTCCACCAATAGGAAAATCGTCAAATCATTCTGCTAAAGCAACACTTAAGTAGTTTTATGGGAATCATTTGGATGACCGAGTAAAAGTCCAGACCTCAAAACGAATGACAATCTTTGGTTAAACATAAAAAATGTTGTTCATAAGCAACAACATCCAACATGAACAAGCTAGAGCAGTTTCACCTTGAAATATTCCAGTGACAAGATATAAGCACCTACTTATTCAAATCAACTTGGAGCTGAAATTGCAGTTAGGCATGTTGAAATTGTCTATTGTTCTCTATGATTCTGTTTTCTCTTCACAATAACACACATAATATATCTTCAAAGTTAAATGGACAGAAAAGAGGAAAAGCTAAAACAGTTTATTTCTGATCTGAAAAACTCTTTTATTCTTAAACATTGTTACAAAAAAAAACAACATTTATAACAACTTATCACCAGCAATTGTGAGTTTAAATAAACTTTGTGAGCGAAAATCTCAGACAATAAATTGTAAGACAATTAATTAGCTAATCATTGACTTTATCCCATTTGAAGGAAGATATTTTTCGTCAGAGTGGTTCCTCAGCGACGGCAGGAGGCGGGTTTGGCCAAACTTGATTCACTGCTCTTCATCCAAACAGAAGTAGAAGCACGATGCAGACTGAATTTACTCCTATAAGCGGCACTGCAGGGGGACATGGATGAGGACATTATTTAAAGGAACAATTAACACCTTCAATGGAGATCTTGTATATGTTCCTGGGTCTAATAAATGATCAGGATGCACATTTTTTTCTCTCCAGCTTTTAGCTGCCTTATCGAACAAATAGAAATCTGTCTCCCTTTAATTCAGTTCAGTTTATTACACCCTTTAGGGGAGTTTTGGGACTTAAATGCCAATTCAACGAGTATTTTTGTATACACTGCATTTGCTGAAATCACTTTATAATCCAATGTTTTGTTTACCAGCATGTCAAGATGTATTATTTATTAAATTTATTGATCTCACAATGGAGAAATTTACCTCTGCATTTAACCCATCCCCTTGGGGAGCAGTGGGCTGTACTTTTATAAATTTGAATTCTGAATATGAGCGGACTTTTCCTTTAAACCAAGCCACACACAGACCTTTTTTGTGTGACTTCACTATATTTAAATTTCACTTCCCTAAAGCTTTAAGCTTAAAAACATTGAGGGCTGTTGTCTAAACTTATAGAGACGAATAGACCACATTTTATTTAATTTAAATAATGACATTGTTCATAGATGAGAGATACAGCAAATGCTTTTTATTAAACCTCTAGGTTATCTACATGTTGCTGCCAATTTATAATCCCAGGCTCGGATTAGCCAAGTCTTTTTTTCTGAAGAAATACATCTTTCAGATCCGTACAATAAATAAAAAAAATAAAAAAAATCAACGATATTCATCCAAATGATTAAATATATTATGTATCATTTTAATGGAACCCTTTAAAAGAGCCACTAAGTGGCTTAAAGAAGGAGCAGGCACCTCTCATCACTGTCCTCACGGAGCGGATCAGGTTCATCAGCTGGACTTTGATGCCTGGTTCATCACCGAACCCTCCAACACTTTGCTCCACTCCCCAGCCGACTAAACAAGGTGGAGAAACACACCGAAACAAACAAGGTTAGGATTCTGTAGCATCCTGCTAGCTGGTCACAAAGATAAGCGATCACATCCTGTTTAGGAGGCTAGCACCGGCTAGCTAAACAGCTACAGGCAGCTGGTTTGCTTCCGAGCTACTTACTTTTACTGAGAAATCTTTCTTCGTGTAGAACAGCAACGGCGTTAATACACAGAATGGCTGCTTGGATTAGAGAGTACAAAGTGAATGCCATGGTAGGTATCCAGCAGTTCCCTGCAGCCTAGCCGTTGCTATTTACCTATGACGTGGAGTACGGTGGCCGAGGATGGGAAATATTCCCAGCCGTCTAATCGCGTTCGTCTCTGTTCGCATTTTCTTTGGTTACAGTTTGTACAAGCATTTGTAGTCAGTAATTTTTTTCTGTGCTATTTTGAAATAAAGGGGAATATATATATATTTTAAATGTAAAAATATAAAGATTTAAAGTGTTGAATCCATTTGTAATCAGCACCCTTTATAGTTTATATCCACTGTGCTTATAAATTCCCCTAATCTACCTTATAGATTCAGCCTCATTATAATGTTTCAAAGGCCTCAGAGGTTCAGAAAAAAATAAAAGGCAAACAGCATAATTAAGACCAAGGAACAAAGGAGACAGCTGTAAAGTTTAAAGCTGGGTTAGGTTCTATTACTATATACCAAGCTTTGAACATCTCTGAGACCAAAGTAAAAACGATCACCTGAAAGTAAATCATGGTATAACTGTTGCCTTC